TTCCTTGATGCATCTCTTTGGAAAGGCCGGCATGCGCGTGCCGCGCTCTTTCCCACCAAACAAAGAAAACCCAAACGTGCTCTTCTGAAACGACAGAGGGAGTTTTAGGAACACACGCCGACGTTGCCCCATCCCGAGAAACACTGCCAAGTTGCCTACATGTCCATCAAAGATCTTCTGTGCCAAAGTTTGCTTGCTGAAGACTAAATAAATACTACAAGCTCTCTTGGCGGTTGCTGGCCATTGATAACGCATCAATAGCACATGAGCCATGTTAGGTCAAACCCAATATTCTACCCACACAGTGACCCTTCTGGAAGGCTACCCAAAGTCTACCTTGCTTCATTGCCCCTGGCACCCGTCCAATGCCCATCGGACTCATATTTCTAAGTTAAAGTTAGTGAGACGCACACCATACCCAATACAGAAACAGATATACAGATGACTAGCGGCTTCCCGCGGCCGAAATGTTCGTTCGTTTTGGCATTCGATAAGAACCGTGCAAATTTGCACTTCCTGAACCAATGGGTGAATCGATCCTACAAAACCCATCCACAGTTTTCCGGTTTTATGCATGCAGGTTGGCATTTGGTGGGACCATTCCCAAGATATCAGCAATAACAAGCGTGCATGCCAAAATGGGCTAGGATGGAAATGTGTGCTCCAAAATATGTATAATTCTAGGAGCAACCTGTATGTTTTAGGAAAGCATCGTCAGAGGTCCTGAACTGCCCTGATAACAGGTTTAGGTGTAGAACGCTATAATGCTAAGTGGGCCATAATAGAATCACAGAATAAATGAGTTGGAAGGTGACTCTAAGGCCATTGAGTCTAAACCCTTAAAGGATGCAGAAATCTAAATCAAGGCAGACCTGACAGAGGTTTGTACAGTTTTTTTTGAATGCCTCCAATGCTGGAGCACTCACCCCCATACTGCTCTAACAGTTAGGAAGTTTTTCCTGATATTCAGCTTAAATCTGATTTCCTGCACCTTGACTTTCTTAATCTGAGTCTTTGAACTGCAAAGCTGGAAGGGTGATCTTAGAAACCATCCAGTCCAAAAGGCACGGGGGGGGGGGGGGGTGAATCTGCAGCCTGATTCCTACACCACTGAACTCTTTTACACTCCCTTTGGGGAAAGAGGATGATCATTCGGCGACCCGGAAAACTCCTGGCACTGGCCAGTTTCCATAACTATTCTTGTCAATGGCCTCTATACTGTCTTTAATAGTCACTGGCTGAGCTAGTGGGAATTCTGGGGGTTGTAGTCCAAAAGCACAAATCGACACGACTCTACCTGGAATTTCCACAACAGGACTCATTCCTACAAATCCAGGGTAGGGAACATGTGACCTCCAGGAGGTTCTTGAACTGCCACTCCCTTCATTCGTCACCGTTCCCTATGCTAGGGCTAGAACTGATGGGGGAGTTCCGTAGCCCCATCGTATCTGGCAGATCTGCCCATGTCCTCAAGGTTCTTGGCCCATCGACCATTTCCGCATTTTATTCTGTAAAGACACTGACTCATCAATAACGCACAGCAAAGGCAGAGAAAGGAGAGGGGGGTGGAATCATATCACTCTCCAAGCAAATTCCACCCTCTTTTTTTCCTGTGCTGTTAATTTTACTACATCTTTTGGTAGAATTTCAACGTGGAAACTTTCCTGGCGCCCGTCCTGCAGGTTTCCCCTTTCTGTTAAAACAGTTCTATATTTTGGGTCAACGTCCTCTATTAATAGCTGCCTTATGAGGCTATTTTAAAAAAGGCAGACATTCGGTTGGGATCGGAAAGCCGTAGCCTGCTCTAGCGAAGAGGCGTGGACGTCAGCTTGGGTTTGACGTCATGAGGTTGAGCCACTTTCTGGTTGGGAGTCAAAAACAGGAGAAGCTCATGAAGATGTCTGCCAGCACTGGGGAGGGAAAAAAAACGGAGAAAGCCACAACGGTCAACTCACTGAGCTCTGGCTAAAGCAGTCTTTCACCAGATGTGCTTGGACTACAACTCCCAGTATTCCCAGCCAGCGCAGCTATGGGTGAAGGCTTCTGGGAATAGAAGTCTAAGAACATCTGGGGACCCAAGGTTGGGAACCACAGGTCTCAAGGAACCACTATGCTTCACTAGGCTTCCAGACTAGGAGACAAAGTCTCAGAGTGAGGCTTACTGGAGGAGAGAGAAAGTTCAGTTTTCAATGTGAATTGCCCTCCATCATCTTCCCTTCCCAGATGGCGCCAGGGCTCACTGGTTCAATGCAAAGATACCTGCAGACCTTCTGTGTTCCTTCCCTTCCAAGTCTTCTCTCCTTGGCATCACAGAGAAAAGGGATTTTCCGTATTTATGGACTTGCAGCCTTCAGACATCCACAGGAATTCCCTCAGCCAGACTCTTGGGGGCTTTAGCCAAAAAAACAACAACAGCCCTTTCAGGTGTCTGCCATTACTTTGCTCTCTCGGGCATGATGGAAACAGTAGAAGTGGTTGGGCTTAACTAAGTCCTATGTGACATGCAAGGCACTATGGGCCTGGTAGTCTCTCTGTCTCTTATGCCCCATACAGGGTAGCTCTGTAACTAGTTGGGGAATTACTGCAGACTTCTCTAGGCCACGAATGCCAAAATTCCCATGCCCAGATGAAAATCTTTGCTTTGTCTCACCATCACAGGCCATCACGAGGAATCTGAAACTTCTTCTCCCCAACAAAGGAAGGGGAGGAACGTTTCCATCTTTGTGGGAAATAATCCGCCCCTATGCCAAACCTGGGGGCTCTGTGCAAATCAGCTGCTTTACTTTAGTATCAGAAGCACCAGATGGGTTGCTCACCTCTTTCTTAACAGTCACTGTTTCCTAGACGGACAGTGCCACGCCGTAGTACAAGCTAGACCAGGACAGAGAAGACCAGAGGTCAACTCAGTCATGGTCCTTTAGGTAGGGTCAGGACCCACCAGGGGTTGGAAGACAGAACCCTAAGCTTCAAATCCAGCGCAGAAATGCAGCCGCCTATGGAGGACAAGAGGTACATCCTTTCTCTGCCACCTCCCAGAAGACAAGTAAAACATTTTGTAGGCTAGTAACGTTTGCGGCCTTATTTACAAGGCTGCATTGAAACACACCTGAACTAATAAATACACATATACTTCCATGTGACAGTTATTGCGAAAGACGACACCAGGCTGCCTTTGAAACCACCCAAACAAGCTCTCCGAATTCATATCGGCATGCAAATCTCTTTCACCATGCGGTGCTCTAAGGATCATTCCCCAGCAGTAAAACCTCGCCTGCTTTTGCAGTCTGACTTGTAACGTTCTGATTTAGTTTATTGCTGGCATAAAAGGCTCGTTAAAAAAGCCACATTCCCTCGCCCTGGGGAACCTTTTGACGCAGGACACAAAGGAGATAGTATTTGTAGACCGTCTTTGAGCAAGGCAGAAGGTGTGGGAGAATAAAAACAAAATCTTATGGGATAATCCTCGGCTAAGGTAGTAAGTTCAACAGTGCAGGCCACGCAAGGGTAACAAATACAGAAGGACTGAATCAATGGGATCTACTGAAGTACCAACGTGCCATTTGGCCACTGAGTCATTAGGTCTGCTCTAGTTGAGACCCACTGAGTCACCACCCAGTCATTGTTAAGGTCCTGTAATGACCATGGTTTAGACCAGTAGTTCTCAAACTGGGGTCCCTAGGTGTTCTTGGACTGCAATTCCCAGAACCCTTCACCACTCATCGTGCTGGCCAGGATTTCTGGGAGTTGCAGTCCAAGAAGATCTGAGGACCCCAGTTTGAGAACCACTGTCTTCAACCTCGACCATTCTAGAAGCTTTGAATTTCTAGTGCCATTCATGCTCTCTCCTTCGGTTTGAGAAACACCGGTTTCAACCACAACCATTCTAGAAGCTTTGGATTTCTAGTGCCATTCATGCTCTCTCCTTCCTTTCTTCTGCCTCCACCAGCATGGGTATAAATGTCTGAAGACGTGAGCAAAACTAAGATATCCCCATCTCTACTCAGGACAATTAACATCCAGAAACAAACAAACACCCAATAAATAAAACCAGTCATAAATACAATAAGAGACAAACACTACATAGAAAGTAACCATCAAATCAAATCAAATCAATCAAATCAATCAATCAATCAATCACTCAATCAATCAATAACAACAACAACACACAACAGCAAACAGGCCATCTAAAGATATTACCGTATTTTTTCCGTGTATAAGACTATACTTTTGTCTAAAATCTTTAGACTAAAAATTGAGGGGCGTCTTATACACGGAAGTAAGCTGAGGAGAGAACAAAAACAAGTGGAGGGGAAAGCAGGGATCAAAGCCATCCTGCAGCGCTTTGATCCCTTTCCCCCTATACTTGCTAAGCCCCACTTAGATTTCTTAATTTTGGATTAGAAAAGTGGGGGGTGTCTTATACATGGGGGTGTCTTATACACGGAAAAATATGGTATATGAAGAGAGAATGCTCTCAAAAAAACAGCCTGGTTTTGAGCATCCCCTTGAAGGTTGTGGGAAAGGAGGCCAAGCATAGCTTCACTGGGAGCCCTTTCCAGAAACGAGAGGCCCACAACCGAGAAGGTCCTGTTTCTGGTCAAGGACTTCCTGGCCTCCATTGGTGTGGCAACCCAGAGGAACATGGCCTGAAAGGAGTGGGTGGCACAGGTGGATGTTTTTAGGAAAAGATGCTCCGACAAGTATCAAGGTCCCAAATCGTGAAGGGCTTTATAGGTAAGAACCAGCGCCTTGAACCTGGCTCGGTACGGCAACATCCCTTGTTCCGTTCCAGATCTCAGTTCCGTGAGACTCAGAACGAGAAGGAACTCCTCAACTAAAATTAAAGGGGAGAGGATTTGGGGTCAGGGTCTGTGGGGTGAAACAGGAAGGGTAGGGAGAGGATTTGGGGTTAGGGTCTGTGGGGTGAAACAGGAAGGGTAAGAGCATGGACAGGCTGGGTAGAGTTACAAGGACCTTAACTGGCCAAAGAACACACCTACCTGTGGGGAGAATCTGGATCGAAGCACGTCTTGGTAACATCGGTTATCTGCGGGTTGCAGCAATCCCCACCATCAAAGTTGTACCTCTCGTAGTTACAATCCATGTCGCACACACCGTTCTGTTTCTTCTTGTTGAACGAGGAATGGCGCACGTGACGGCAATCTCCGCCGTCGTACCCCGTCAAGGTATGGTTGCACTCCGGGTCACAGTTCTCGTCTCCAATCTTGCTGATTTCGCAGTTGGCGAGGACCAGGCGGTGCCGCAGGGAGGAGTTCCTGACGTCCAGCACCTCCAGTTCCCAGGTGATGTTGTACGGTCTGAAAGCATCGTTGAGTTGCTGGTGCTGGTACTCGATCTGCTGGAGGCTGACGGTGGGGTTCTGGTGGTGGTCGTCGTAGATGTTCACCACCCGGTAGCGGACGGCCTTCGGATGGCGGAAGCTCGAGAGTTGGTTATAGCTGGCGATGACCTCCACGTTGTCGCAGACGGTTTGCCCACATGGAGGAGGATCGAGGCTGGTGTCCAGCGTATAGCCAGGATGAGAAATGAATTCAATTTGAGGAAGACTCGGGTTGTCTTTCATGGGGGACCAGATGCTTTTCACATTCAGTAAAGTCTCCTGAAAAATGAGCTGAGGTAGAGGAGCATCTTCCCCTTGAGTCACCAGGCCCATGTCCGACAGGATATCCTTCTGAGACCGGGCTGTTCTCCAAAGACTGAAATGTTCTACGTAGCCTCTGTAATTCTGGTTGAGAGCATTTCCTCCTAGCATCAGCACTTTACACTTTAAGGTCAAAGGGCTAAAGATACTCCCCACTTGTTCCCCGCTGGTGGCCACCTGGGCGCCGTTGACGTAGAGCTTCATCCAGTGCCCGTCGTAACTGATGGCAAGGTGAACCCACTGATTCGGGAGGTAGCTACGATGATCCGTGATCGTTGTGACCTTCCGGGCCCGATCGGTCTTCAAAGAGAAGAAATAGCGAGGGTCTCGGTTGCCCTGGTCGCTCACGTTGTTGATCCCCAGGACCCATCCTCGGTCAAGAGTTGTGTACGAACACTTGTCATACAATCCTACGTGTCACACACCCCCAAGAAGAAAGAGAAAAGACAAGTAAATATGGGTGATGACAGCATGAAAAGATTATTCCATTGAGTCTAATTAGGAAGAGAGTAGGGGTTTTTTTTCAAACAATAAACCAACTGGCACAGGACCAAGAGGCACTAGACATTCTTGTGTGTAAGTGGCCATGAATAAAGGGGAAAGACTGCCGTATCTCAGTAAAGGTCAAGAGCTGTTCTAAGCCCATGACGTAAATGGGACTCCCATTCTTGGTCCAGAACAGGGGAGCGAGCAAGAGCTTCTTCATAATTTCTTAGCGGTGAAATTGCGCCAAGAAACCTCATTAACTTTGTGTGAACTGTCAGCTTGACGTCATTCGTTTGGATCAAATCTTCGCCAAAGGGATTTTTATTTTTTATTTTTTTATATTTTTTTTGCCTCTAGCCATTTCTCAGCGTCCCTGACAAAAAAAATCACAATTCCTAGAATTCTTTGCGAATACTGGTGGTGCTGGAGCTCACAGCTTATTAAATCTTAACTTTCTAAATCTTGTACAGTCGGGTCATCTGTTCTCCTCACAGCTGTACCGTGTCATAACACACTGCACAGCTGAGGGAAGAAGGGGTGTTCCGCATCTCAGAGAGCAATTGGGTGACTTTCTTGTGAGGCGAGGACTTGCCAAAACATGGCTAATCAGAATTTGATCTGTCCACCCAGTTTGGAGGTCCATCAAGCCCATTGGCTCCCCATCTTGGGTCCTCAGATGTTCTTGGACTACAACTCCCATAATTCCTGGCCAGAACAGCTACTGGTGAAGGCTTGTGGGAGTTTTAGTCCAGGAACACCTTACTGGTGTTCCTGGACTAAAACTCAAGACTGGGAACCACTGTCCTAGATGGTTCATTGTCTGGTTTTCTTCTCTCAAGTATCACCTCGTGAACTTGCAATTTGTCCGCAAAGGGGTCATCTGCAAGAACGAGCACTTCTGGAGGAGGACACCGCTGCTTTTTCTGGCATCGGAAGGGGTACATTAAAAATATGTGGCCCATAAAATGACCTTCATCACAACTCTGCATCTTTTACTTTAAGGGAATTAAGCTACAGGACAAATGCAGAGGGGCGAAGGACGTGATACGGATGCGGTGGGCTCACCATGATGGCCAGTCGACAAAAACAAGACCATACACAAACAAGTTTCTATGTCTTTATCCTCTCACCCACACATACATACATCACAAAACAGTGGCATTCACTAAGGAGAAGGTAACGCTGTGGGCAAACCTTCTCAACTTGCAGGTTGACGGGATCTGCCTCTGTAACAACATCTGAACGGCCTTATGTTGACCAACCCTCTTAGCTTCAGAAATGCCCCTCCTGAAGATACAGTCGTGCCCCGCTTTACGATTACCCCGCATTATGACAAATCCGCTTCACGATGACATTTTTGTGATCGCATTTGCGATCGCAAAACGATGGTCTAAATAGGGTTTTTTGGCTTTGTGATGATCAGTTCCCTGCTTCAGGAACCGATTCTTCGCAAAACAGGTTTTTGTTAACAGCTGATCAGCGGTTTCAAAATGGCTGCTGGGTAATTAAAATGGCTCCCCACTGTGTTTAGGGACGGATTCCTTGCTATACAGGCACCAAAAATGGCCGCAGTATGGAGGATCTTCGCTGGACGGTGAGTTTTTAGACCATTGGAACGCACTGAACGGTTTTCAATGCGTTTCAATGGGCTTTTTATTTTCGCTTTATGACAGTTTCACTTAATGGATTATCACCGTTAAGCAAGGCACCACTGTCGTTTCTACTAACTGTTTGCCACAACCTCCATGGTTTAGATCTCTATCTGCAGAGCCAGAGGTTGGGAGTTTGATTCCCCCATTGTGCCTCCTCAATAGGGGCAGGACTCAAGGACCCAAAGGGTCCCTTCCAGCTCTGCAGTTCTAAGATCATCATCATCATCATGGCCCCATTGATACAATATAGGTGATCAAATGGTCCCATTTCATGCCCCTTTTCTGCACCTGTTACTCCAAACCAAGCCCTAGTCTACAAAATGAACCGTTTTCTTGCAAAAATGCGAATCCTTCCTTCCTTCTCAATGCCGTTATTTCGCACGGGCCTCTTCCTTTTCTATCTTTGGGCAGGAGACACCAGAGTGAGGCAGGCCTTTTGTCCCGTGAGCACAGCAGGGTGTTGTTCTCTTCAAAACAACTTCTCCAAACCAGGTCTGAGCTGACCACGGCCGTTCCTGGTCATTAGAAGCGAATGGATGGGCATAGGCCGGGGAAGAACCGTGTTGGTTTGGGCTGGCATTGAGACCCAGGACAAGGCGAATCACACTTAGGAGGCACAGGGAAAGCTATCGAAATTCAAGCTACCGGAGAGAGGCTAAGGCCACACCGTCTTCCAACCTGGTAACAGTGGGTTAAGATTATTTGTCCTTTCACCGTCACAGCGGGCGGGATACTGGACTTTCCAGAAGGGCGACTGCATCTTATTCCATCTACGTTGTTGTCCTTCGCTGCTTGTAATGTGTGCGTGCATCTGATGGGGACATGGGAGAAAACCTTCTCTATGGCTGCTCCCGGACTCTGGAACTCCCTCCCACTGGAGGCCAGACTGGCCCCCTCTCAGCTGTCCTTCTGCAAGCAAAAACCTTTCTCTCCAGGAAAGCTTTCCCTCTGGGGCTGCCTGCCTGAATTATTTTCTTTTGCTTTGTTTTATGGATTGTTGTGCCTTACTGGGTTTTTTTTTTGAGTGTTGCTTTTGTTTACTATTTTCTAGTGTGTTATTTGACCCTTTCTAGTATTTGTATACTTACTGTGTTTAACTTTAAATATTGTCTTTTAAAGATGTGAGCCACCTTGGGTCCTTTTATTTAAAAAAAGGCAGGGTAAATTTTTTTAAAATAAATAAAGTATTTTTCTGTGTATAAGACTATACTCAGTATTTTTCCGCGTATAAGACTATACTCTTGTTGAAAATCTTTTTAGACTAAAAATTGAAGTTTGTCTTATACACGGAATTAAACTGAGGAGAGAACAAAAACAAGTGGAGAGGAAAGCAGGGATCAAAGTGATTCTGCAGCGATTTGATCCTTTCCCCCTACACTTGCTAAGCTCCACTTATATTTCTTACTTTTGGATTAGAAAAGTTGGGAGGTGCCGTATACACGGAAAAATACGGGTAAATAAACGTTCAGAAAAGCTAGCTTTTCACAATGGCACTTTTTTGTGTGCAGCTTGTGGAAGTTTCAACGAGGGGGAAAAATGCTCCTTGCCTTATTCTTGTGCTGGAGGCAAAGGCATCTTCTGGAACTCAACGGATGTTCAACACACCACCTCTCTGGATACAGACAGACAGTCTACCTCAGGAAAAATGATGAACGGACTAGGATTCTGTTAAAGGATTCACTGTGCCATGAAGCCACACTTCAAAAAGACCACGGCGCGGGTGGAAGAAGCATGGGTGGCCACAGGGAAGGTTGGACTTCGAACAGATAGGGGTTGAGGGGTGCCGGTCGGGTTCTCAGGAAGGAAAAGCCAAAGTTGGGGGGGAAAGACAAGAAAAATAACAATTCCCCATAACTTCTGGACGTTGTCACTGCCCAGCTTGCTGAGAGAACACAAGCAAAGGTGACAGGACTTAGTTATGAAAGGGGAATTTAGGTCAACAATCAAAGCTGCAGTCAGGGGCCCATGAATGGGGAGTTAAAGGTTGGGGCTGCGTCCTTCCCCCCTCGCATGCTTTAATCGCTTAGTATCAAAGTCACAGCGGAACGCTTGAAAGAGCAAATATTCTACAGGAACCTATAGGAAGCTTTTATCTGTCCAGAGGAAAATAATTAAAAGAGACAGATTTGGGTTAAGTATTCCCATGTTCCATGCCATGGGAGAACGTCGGAAAAGATCCACCCAAGCACTTTTCCCAACTTTCGGCCTCCGACGACGACTTTGAACCCGTCACGATTTGCACTCCTTTTCTATATAATTACGAGGAGGGTGGGAATACCTTTCCTTCTACAGCCTTCCCGCCGCCCCCCCGTCACCGTCTTCCACACGAACTTTAAATAATTCAATACTCCAGGGAAATTCAAAGGGAAGACACCATCCATACCACTCCTGTAAAAAGCCCCCGGGGGCTGTCGTGGGAAGCAAACCGCCAGTGGATAAAAATAATGGCCACCTCTGACAATAGTCCAGGGGGGACAAAAAAATAACTTCTCGCATCTGGTGGAAAGTTCATTCAGAACCCCTCTTTCTAAAATCAGTGGTCCTACACAAACCACTTCTGAACAGCCTCTCCACAATCACGTGATGGGTTTCATCCCTCGCTCCTCCACTTTCTTGAAATACTTCCCAGGAAACAATGCCGTGACTGTCACATGCTTTTCTGAATTGAACAAAGCTGTGTGGATGAACGCTGGACGTTTTCGGAACATAACTATCTCCGCGCACACGATGATGATGATGAGCAGACAAGACAGAAACACACCCTAGTACCAGAACTAAGAATTCATGACTTTTCTTTCTCGTTCATGAATCATCCCGCAAAAAGCCACTTTGACAATATGTCGCCTGGCAGATGCTTCTTGATTTTATATGACTGAGAAATTATAAAGAAGGCCAGACTAGATGTTGTGCTAAGTCCTCTTCTTAACTTCACTTCTCTAGAAAAAGCTACCTTCACCTGGACGTCATGAAGGCCGACATCTTCATATCCCTGTTTCACATAACTGGCTCCTTTTAAAATAAATGCCTGTTGCCTACCAAACAATATACAACAGCAACAACAGGGTGGAATCAAACTCCCAACCTCTGGCTCCACAACCAAATAGCCAAACCGCTATACTACCCAGCCGTTCATCAACCACAACAATGGGGTGCCACTGAGTCTATTCCAATGTATGTTAAAAGATAAGGGGCTTCTTAAGTATAAAGTACAGTACTCAGAAGTGGTTTGCTCCTCCTGTCTTCTCGTGGTATCTCAGAGCTGTGTAGCTTACCCCAGATTACACAGTCTGGCTCTTTGGCAAAGAAAATAGGGAATTTGCAAAATTAACCATCCATGATGCCATCAGTAACCAGAAGAACAGAAAACACAGAGACCTCAGTTCTGAAATGACAGATTATATGCTCAGGACCTCAGAGCAGTTCAAAAGTCATTCTTCGGCCTCTCTCTGGTCGTGACAGTTCTGAGAGTGAAGAAACAAAGACATATATCTGAAAGGTCCTTAGTGTTTACAGAAAGGCTACACAAAGCTATCAGGATCCAGAATAAGAGGGAAAGATAAGGATGCCACCAGCCAAGACAAATTGCTGGCTATGCCATGATAAACACATACCTTATTAGTAAACACATGATAAACACACGCCTGAACTCACATACTACAGAGGGAAGGCCACAAGAGAGAAGGAGCACAGCCTTTCACTTACTGATGATGTAAATCCTTACCTATTCTTTCTCTTTTGGAAAAAAAGGAATGATTAACAAAATCAATTCTGTGTACTCAGAAGTGGTTTGACCCTTCCTTCTGGGGTAAAGCTGGCTCGATTTGGAGTGGAGAATCAAACTCCCAACTTCTACCTCCACAGCCAGATACACTTTTCCATGTTAAGGCTGGCTGGAAAGCTTAGTGGTTTAGGCATCGTGATTCACAAAGAAATATAGGAACAGACGAAGCTCCCCCATACTGTAGGAACTGGGCCAAGATGCTTTTCAGTGCCTTGGTGGGAGATCCTTGTCTCTCCTGGTCATCTAAATCAGTGGTTCTTAACCTTTGTTACTCAGATGCTTTTGAACTGCAACTCCCAGAAACCCCAGTCAGGACAGCTGGTGGTGAAGGCTTCTGGGAGTTGCAGTCCAAAACTCCTGAGTAACCCAAGGTTAAGAACCAGTGATCTAAATATTAGCCAGGCTCAACTTGACTTAATTGCAACATCAGGTGACATAAGGCAAGTTCAGTGTGGTATGATGGACATGATGGTGGTGAGGATGATACGGTTACAGGAGGCACGCATGGCTTAGGAGCTACATGCTATTGGTTGTCCTCTTGACCAAACTCGGAGCTCACGAGCAAGGCTGCGAAGCTACAGCTGGAGGCACAGAACAAGTATTATTGTCGTTCCAAGAAAGTGGAATTTGATATTAGGGACAGAAGCTATCTCAGCCGGTATTCAGCTTCATTATTCATTAAGGAAAGGTGAATGCGCTCTTAACTCACTGATTTAAAAAAAATGTTTTTTCAAGTATTTGTAATCTTTTATCGTTCCAAAGAAAGTTCCCTCCTTCCTAAAGGCCGGAGACCCCAACTCTAATGTTTATGCTTTCAGTTATCTTAACATAAGGATTATTTGTTTTCTCAAAGGCTTTCACGGCCGGGATCCGATGGTTGTGGTGCAGACTCAGCTATCCCACAAAACTGCACCAGAGCATGGAGAGAGTTCTGACTCCTGTCCTCTGAAGAGGCCGGCCACAGAGACTGGCGAAACGTTAAGAAGAAAAACCTTAAGAACACGGCCAAAGGGCCCAAAAAACCTACAACCATAATTATTATTTATTTTCTTGTTTGTCAGACCTAGTTACATTTAAAAGCATACATCTGGATGCGAAAAACCTCCAGTAGAAAACATATTCATCCCATTCACCTTACTGTTGTCTGAACACAGCCAGAAGAAGGGGATGCCCAGCAGAAGCCAGCACTTGGACCATGTAATATTCCTCCTCCACCATTTCAGTGAGGGTGTACCCTCATCCGTCCCTTGGATTTTAGAAAAATAACCGGACGTTATCGTTCAGAGAACCGTGCTATATGAGTTACCCCCAAAGGAGCGATGATCATCCTCATTAAGTTACATTGATAATGCAACAGAATTACAACTTCTTTTTTTAAAAAAAATTAATAAATTTATAAAACAAACATCCAACCTAAACAACATAAACCTAACACCACAATTAAATACAATTACATAATACACCAGTGCCACCATCACCCTCAGGGCTAGCATTAATAATATTTTAAAATTTCATTCAGTCCATTTTCTCTCCAAAACTTCATTGTTTCTTCCCTCGGTGTATACCCCTTCCCTCTCGGAGATACATATTCCAAGAATACACTCCATATTTTCTTAGAATCATTATTTTTTTGATAGGCGTCTTCTTATTATCATATTACATGTCATAACTTCTTTATTCTGGATAGCTCAGTGGTTGAGGAACGTGGCTGTGGAGCCAGAGGTTGGCAGTTTGATTTGCCACTGTGTTTCATGCATGTCAAACCAGCCTGGGTGGCCTTGGGCCAGCTGCACCGTCCCAGGGCTACCCCCAGAAGAAGGGAAGGGGAAACTATTGCTGAGTACTCTTTACCTGGAAAACCCTGGAAAGGGTTGCCATAAGTCAGAACTGACTTGGCAATACATGATTATTATTTAACTAAGTACAGTGGTGCCTCGCTTAACGACATTAATTCGTTCCAGCGAAATAGCTGTAGAGCG